GTAATAGGATACAATTGTAAGGCTCCTAAAACCAAGCGTCTTCCATAGCTTCTCCCTCTTCCTCCTTCCCGACCTCCACCAGTCCCCAGTGCCTGTCTTCTTGTCTATCCCTTCCTATCCAGTTCTCATGCCATCATCCCTCTTCATTTTGCACCTGTCTCAATGTAGAAGCCCCTAGCTGGTCTCCCTGCCTCCTTTTCCTGCTCCCTCCAATCCATCCTGCACACCATCGCCAGATAAATCTGCTCCTCACTCTCCTCAAACCGTCTTGCAGGAAAATGGCCTCTTCCTACTCACTGTGCCTCAACTCCTTCACTTGGGGGTAAAGGCCTTGCCCAGTCTGTTTCCAACTCTTTCCAGCCCTCGTTTCCCAATACCATCTGAAAAGCAGCCTCACTTTGTTCTGGTCAACCTGGATGCTCTGTAATTCCCCAAATACGCTCTGTTGAAAACTTCAGACCTTGCGTTAGATAGAAATAGGAGCCAGATTGGCTGGGCACAGTGGCTCATGCCTGTAATCCCAGCACTTTGGGAGGCTGAGGCGAGTGGATCACGAGGTCAAGAGATTGAGACCATCCTGGCCAACATGGTGAAACTCTGTCTCTCCTAAAAATATAAAAATTAGCTGGGTGTGGTGGCACGTGTCTGTAATCCCTCTACTTGGGAGGCTGAGGTAGGAGAATCACTTCAACCTGGGAGGCGGAGGTTGCAGTGAGCTGAGATCATGCCACTGCACTCTAGACTGGGCAACAAGAGGGAAACTCCATCTCAAAAAAAAAAAAAAAGAAAGAAAGAAATATAAGCCAGGTCATTTGCCGCAGACCACCTAGCTAGTGAGCAATAGGATCTGGATTTCAATCCAGGTTTGGGCTGTGTTCAAAGCTCTTCAACACTATCCTATTCTCTCTCTGGAATGCTCCCTTCTATATCTATCTGTAGAAACTGTACTATCCCTTCAAGGACATTTTGTTAGGGAGGCAGGAACCGAGGAGAGCAAAGGTGACACAGTTTTAAGTTCAGCTCTGTCTTGAGACTAACAAGGCACATTCCTTGCCAACCATGACCCATGGTCATAAGATGTTTATGGTTGAGAAAACAGCCTAAGGATACTACAACAACAGAAAGTCCAGATGTCCCAATACCATAACAACAAATGTTTTCAAAAAATTATAGTTATGCTTTGATGTTCTCACACACTAAAATGTCAAGGATAGTTTTCTTTAAATCAGTAGAATAATAAGTTTTGTCACACTGTCTGCTCATCCGCACATAGGCACAGCTTAGTTTAATCTTTATATAGACAAGACCCCAATATAAGAAAAACTTAAAGTCGATGCGTTCCTCCTTTTGCTTTCTGAGGGCGCCCTACTCTGTAACAGAGTAGTTTCTAATAAGCTTGCTTGTTTCACTGCATTTTGTGACTCACCTTGACTTCTTTCCCACATAAGATCCAAGAACCTTCTCTTAGGGGTCTGGATTGAAACGCCCTTTTCTCCTAAAGTTTTCCCTTTTTTTCTTGTCGAAGTGACTTTCTGTCTTCTGAGCTCCTGTAGCACTTTATTTACACATTTCACAAACTATATTGATAACAGAGTCACGTGATGAGTTTCCTGTGGTCTACGACATTGTCTTGAGGTTTTTCAGTCCTTTACAGCATGGTACATAGCACCCTACATGCTATGGGCTCTCACAGAGGTCTGCTGAAGAATGAGTTACTGTGGGAAGCCTTTCCGTACCTGCCCAACCCTCTCACAACACGAGATCCTAATTGATTTCAGGCACAAAGATAACACTTCCCAACCCCAAGTGTCCTGCCATTTTCCTATTCTAGCGTATCAATTATTTTTTTATTCCATCCACAAGCCCTCTGCCACCTGTCTATAAAACATTTTGCAATTGGGAAGGACTCTGGTACTGGATAACTATGTAACATATAAAAAGATGCAAATCATGATAAATAGGAGTCACAAAATGAACAAGGGTGGTTACATTCTTTAAAATCCAAAATGGAAATTAGACATAGGTCCAGGTCAAGTTGCCCTTTCAGGCCTTCTCACCCTTTGTCTCCATTTTTTGTGGAAAGGAACAAGGGGAGGGGCAGCAAGCAGTGTGAGCAAAAGCGGAAGAAGAAAGGGGAATAACTGGCCAGACAGTCACTCTTTCCCAAAAGACAAACAGCATTCTAGGAAAGGAAAATATTCCCTAGGTCACAAGCAATTGTACAAGAAGCCTACAGCAGAACAAGGAAATCCAAAACAGTAGCCCCTGTTTGATCTCCTCATCTCCATCTGTGAGATAGGGGTGATAACCCTGCCTGCTTCTCACACACAGTCCAGGGGCACTCCCTAAGCTGTCTTCAGCATGATTTGGAAAAGGCTGCAAATGCAAGATGAAAATCCCCCATCTAACTTAGCATTTGACTGTATCCCTGGGGATTAAGTAAAACTAGACATTGAACTTAAAACAAATATAAGGAGAATGGGGACAGGGGACACTCCTCCTATTGTCTACCTCCCTGTTCACCCTCTTCCCTGCCGCTCCCACGGAAGAAGAAGTTGCTAAACTGATGGTATGTTGTCCTGAAATGCCACTGGGCCAAAGACAGAGTTCAAGTTCAACTTCTTAAAACCCAAGTTGATAACAGCTGGGGTTCCCCTCTCTGTCAGGGTCCCCCTTCTCACTGTAGGAATGGAAAAACTTCACCTCTATTGTTTTAGGGTCCTGGCTGGGTCCAAGAGTTAAATCAACAAAACATAGATTAACATGAGAAAAGCATAGAAATTTATTCATAAGTGTTTTACATGGCACAGCAGCCCTCATAAAGAAATGAAGACCAAAGAATCAGTCAGAGTCAGTTACTTATATATTGGATTGAATAAAGAATAGTAAACTGTGAAAATGTGACTAAATTATGTGGGGAAGCTTAAAAAATAAGAGTTTCTAACAAGGTCTGTGCAATATTCTCTAAGTTACCTTTCCTTCTAGTCCCTAGAGAGTGTCTTTCACATAGGAATTCCATCTTCTTCTCTTAAGAAACAGCACAAAAGTCGAAGTGATCTTCTTGTACCTGCTGTTTTTCAAGTGCTTTTAACTTAGTCAATATGCCAGAATGGCATTTTTAAAATTTTACTTTAAGTTCTGGGATACATGTACAGAACGTGCAGGTTTGTTACATAGGTATACATGTGCCGTGGTGGTTTGGAGCACCTATCAACCTGTCATCTAGGTTTTAAGCCCCGCATGCATTAGGTATTTGTCCTAATATTCTCCCTCCTGTCACCCCCGACCCGCCAACAGGCCCCGGTGCCTGATGTTCCCCTCCTTGTGTCCATGTGTTCTCATTGTTCAACTCCTACTTCTGAGTGAGTACATACGGTGTTTGGTTTTCTGTTCCTGTGTTTGTTTGCTGAGGATGATGGCTTCCAGCTTCATCCATGTCCCTGCAAAGGACATGAACTCGTTCTTTTTTATGGCGCATAGTACAGAATAGCATATTTTAACCCCTTCATCACCCCACAACAAATACCATTTGTTTGGAATGAATCATTATCAAAACTGAAAACTCTACCAACATTAGTTCTGAGAACCAACCATACACTGAGCACTGGACTAGGGCTGGAGATTTTGAAAAAGAAAGAGAAGAAAAGCAAAGCATTTGCCCCTACTCTTAAGAAGTTCACAGTCTACTGGAAGAGGCAGAAATAATTTCCATAGACAAGTAATTTCCATAGGCAAAGGTAAACCCCGGGGTTCTGTGGAAATTTAAAAGATTCTGTGAAAACAGAACTGGGGGTGAGGGAAGGTTTCATCAAAGGGATGAGGTCAGAATTGAGGGCTGATGAATGAGTAAGAGTCAGGCCTAGAAGAGAGGCAGAGGTGTCCCGCAGAGAAACACCTGAGCGAAGCCGTGAGACAGGTGTGGTGTGTTTCCCTCACAGCAACAAAGGATTTCCCACATCCTTATATCTGCATTAATAAATGGCATATGACCGTGGCAGGGAGGAGGAAAGGGGGAAATCAGTGAAATATATTTAAGTACTAACTTTGAAGAAATGCATTCAAAATAAATCCACAACTTTCTCTGAAGAAATAAGATGGGTAAAGGAAAAAACTAAAGAAAAAGGTATAAAAGAAAAAACATGTTTTTCAAGCGAGTTTGGTTAAAGCAATCAACTTCCTAATCTCCACAAGTGGTATCAGACTCCAGGCGGCCTCTCAGTCACAAAGCTGCTGTTTACCTCTAAATCATAAAAGGCAGATGGCAAGCAAGCAAAATACCACACACCTGGTCACTGTGTACATTCTAAACCACACCATAGTCAAGGGAGGGGTGGGGGCTCATCAGCAATGCAAACCCATGGAGGGAAGGCCTTTCCCAACCAAGTCTTCTCGGCTAGAGGTGGACACAGCACTGCCTAAGGACAGCATTTGGACCCCACTCTGCCCCTGTCTGTGAAATGGTGGTGACCAATGTGGACTCTGCCCACACTCCATCCTCTCGAAGACCTGGGCGTGTACTGATTTAAGCGGCATAAAGAGTTGAGGCCCAGGCTGGAGAGGGTGGAAGGAGAAGATGCCAGAAAGCATTTCTATCATGGGCTTGGCTACAAGCACAGTTTTTTTTCCCTGGCCTTATAGTTTCCTTGCTCTGTGCCTTAGTTTCTCCATCTGACAATGACAATCACAACAATCTGCCCCTAATTTTCTTATTTAGGAGCGATAAATAACTCCTGACACAGTTGGAGTTCCTTAAACAAGGGTCCTGTGTCCTAGACAACACGACCCAGGAAGCCAGAATAGCCTCGGCTGGGCACGGTGGCTCAAGCCTGTAATCCCAGCACTTTGGGAGGCCGAGGCAGGTGGATCATTTGAGGTCAGGGGTTCGAGACCAGCCTGGCCAACATGGTGACACCCCTCTCTGCTTAAAAAAAAAAAAAAAAAAAAGATTAGCTGGAAATTGCTCGAACCCAGGAGGCGGAGGTTGTAGTGAGCCAAGATCGTGCCACTGCACTCCAGCCTGGGCAACAAAGCAAGACTCCATCTCAAAAATAAAAAATAAAAATAAAGTAATAGCCTAAGGAACAAAGGTAACACAGCTGCTCAATCAGTTTTCCATCCACTCGACACTGTTTACTCTGTCCCTCCGGTGTGCAAACAGAGTCAAAACTGAGAATTGTTTGTCATTGTTTTCCAGTCCCTGTCCACATTCCTTGTTCGTGACTGATGGGTGACAGAAGCCAGCTGGGTTATTATGCATACCAGGGTAAACTGTGCTCATGGAAGTATATGTCTCAACCCAGCCCTGCCACATGGGAAGGGTGGAATAAAGCCAGTGCCTAAGGCGGCAGGAGACTGTACTCAGCTCACCTGGGGATGCTAGTCAGGTAGGTCATGACATTCAGGAAGTCTTCATCTGGGATGTGTTTGAACCCCGAAAACTCTGGGAACGTGATGATGGGGGCGCCATCCTCCCCTCGGCCTCCTGTAACAAAAACAGGTGGTCAAGATGTTAGCAAAATGCTGTCATGTCGCGCCTCTGCAGGAAAGTTGGGTGAAAGAATATCAGTCACCTCTTTTCCTATCTATATTATCTCAGACTAGAATTGGGGAGAAGTTAACACAGTTATTTTGAGCAAGTCTCTCTTCTCATTCATGCTGGCTCCATGGCATTGTAAGAACTCAATTTTTGAATCCTTTGAAGAGAGTTACTGTGTAAAAGGTAATACTGATTTAATTATTCAGCATAGGTAGAATAGTAAATAATGCCAACACAAATATGTAATATTGCTCTTCATTTTTGTAGTCAGTAAATGTCAAAAGTAATATTGCGTGCTGGTTAAGAGAGTTAACGCTAAAATCAGACAGCCTGGTTCAAATCTGCTTTGCCACATTGTTGCTATATGATTTTAGCCAAGATACTTAATGTGTTTCTTTCATATTTATATATATATCTATGTATATACATAGATATATATGTCCCATCATTTTATTATATAGGAAAAATGCTTGTACCTACGTGGTAAGGTATTGTGAGAATTAAGTAACAGCACAAAGGAGAAGCACCTTAGCAGGGTGCTTATTATATAAAACTGCTCAAAAAATGGTGACCATTATTATAATTATTATTATTACAAGGAAGCAATAATCAGCTTCCCTTCAAGAATTTATAAATAGCAATTTAAGATATCCCTGTGAAAGTAAAAATATGAAAATTAACATTTAATTCAAAGCAGAGACCACCAAATTCAATGGATTCTATTTCCCAGTCCCCTTGCAGCTACATGGAGCCATTTGACTAAGTTCTAGCCCCACAATCCCCAAACTGTGTCACAGATACCCAGGGAACCACAGTAAACTCATAGGAGTGCTGTGACTATTTTAAATTTTTGAGGGAAACCCAGTGATAGTTGACATCTGTCGGATACCATATGCACTACTACTGGCTAGAGGTAGCTCCCAATTTCTTTTTTCTTTTTTTGAGACAGAGTCTCGCACTGTCGCCCAGGCTTGAGTGCAGTGATGCAATCTCGGCTCACTGCAACCTCTGACTCAGGTTCAAACGATTCTCCTGCCTCAGCCTCCTAAGTAGCTGGGATTATAGGCATGCACCACCACACTCAGCTAATTTTTGTATTTTTAGTAGGGGCAGGGTTTCACCATGTTGGCCAGGCTGGTGTTGAACTCCCGACTTTAGGTGATCCACCTGCCTCGGCCTCCCAAAGTGCTGGAATTACAGGCATGAGCCACCACACCCTGCCCCGGTAGTTCCCAATTTCAACATCAAATTGCATTATATTCTTGTAGATGGTGTTGCATCTTTAAAAAGCTGGGGGTTTGGTACTTGCTGGAATAAAAAGCAAAAACAGTATGAAAATCAGTGTGGAACAAGACATAAAGGTGGTGATATCTAGTTTGATTGCAAGGTTTAAGATAGTTGTAGTTATTTAAGAATAAAATTGAGAGAAAAAATATTTTAATTTATATGTATTATTTTTTCAAACAGCTACTAAGTTGTTAGGACATAGATACATATTAAGTTGTTTGAAATGCTAGTTACTGCTTTTGGCCTGGGGGGGCCATGAAAGAAAGACTGAGATACTAAGGCGCAGAGAATTGAGAGGGTTTGGGAACCTCTGCCCTAGCCAGTGGCATAGGAGCTTCAGTTGCATGCACCTTCCAAGTGATGTCCTTGAAGAGAAACCACTTGAAGAGGAATCATGGCTCTCAAGGCAAGGCCAACTACAAATGACTGAATGTATTTAACATATCTGAGAAAGACATATCAGTGTGGGGTGTGATTAGTGGGGACTGTGTGGTTAATGAGGATGTGTGGTCAACAAAGAAACTACAGAAGAGGAGGACTCAGAGGAGCAAAGGCGGGCAGTGTACAGCTAAGGAGAGAGGGCCAGCCCACCCTGAGAGTCCAATCCATGTTACCGGTCTATCTGATGACACCACTGTAAGATCATTCAGCTAACTCTCTGGTGCTGACTCCAAGCCTGATAAGAATCTTCTGTTTATAATCTCATTTTCCACGTAAATTTGTTTCAAGAAAAGGAATGTGTTATTGAGCAAACATAAGTATATTATGTAAAGAGTAAGTTAGTGCTGTGGTTTTTCTGCACAAGTCTCTTGTGGGTGTTGTTAATATGGGTCTTAGGTGCTCAGAAACCAATTGCTGTGGAATGAAACCATGTGAGATTTGTCTGGATGGTCAGTCATCCGTCCCCAAGAGGTACCTCTTTATTAATCCTATATGTTTACTCTAAATTTCCAAAAATGAAATCTACAGATTAGATGTTTACCAAGACAAGTATGTTAAACTACCTCATTACAGTGACTGATAAGGATATTAACAGCTTTCATCTAATAATATTCTTCCTCTTTGCAGTTTCACAACTATGGGAAGTTTCAGAGAAATGTGCATTCAGAGAATTTGTGTCTTTAAAAAGCTAAATTTAGATGCATTATAACACTGTAGTAATTGCATAATCAACATTTGCTGAGGGAATGGCTAAAACATTTCAAGGAACTGAAACACGCTAAAATATTCACTAGAATGTGATTATGCCATTTAATTTTACCTTTTATTTATTATTATTATTATTATTAGATGGAATCTTGCTCTGTCGCCCAGGCTACACTGCAGTGGTGAGATCTCCGCTCACTGCAACCTCCACCTCCCAGGTTCAAGCGATTCTCGTGCCTTAGCCTACCGAGTAGCTAGGATTACAGGCACACGCCACCACGCCCGGCTAATTTTTGTATTTTTAGTAGAGACGGGGATTCACCGTGTTGGCCACGCTGGTCTCGAACTCCTGACCTCAAATGATCCATCTGCCTCGGCCTCCCAAAGTGCTGGGATTACAGGCATGAGCCACTGCATCTGGTCAATTTTACCTTTTTATAGTTGACTGTATTAAAGTTAACCCCACCTAAATGAAAAAAGGCGACATTTTCTTCTATCTTGGTTACTACCAATACTGAACAGCAGAGAGGCCCTAAGGTTAACTGTGGACACCCACCTACTGTTGAATATTAGTCTTAAGAGGCAGAAGCATCAAGGAAACACAGCTAAACTTACCACCACGGGGCAACCCACAACATGGCATCTAGTGCCACCTTCTGAGGAAACGCGGTAATACAATAGGAAGAAAGTGATCATTCCGAAGTCCCATTCAAGGAATACAAAAAACCCCGAATTGGCCGGGCGCGGTGGCTCAAGCCTGTAATCCCAGCACTTTGGGAGGCCGAGACGGGCGGATCACGAGGTCAGGAGATCGAGACCATCCTGGCTAACATGGTGAAACCCCCGTCTCTACTAAAACAATACAAAAAACTAGCCGGGCGAGGTGGCGGGCGCCTGTAGTCCCAGCTACTCGAGAGGCAGAGGCAGGAGAATGGCGTAAACCCGGGAGGCGGAGCTTGCAGTGAGCAGAGATCCGGCCACCGCACTCTAGCCTGGGTGACAGAGCGAGACTCCGTCTCAAAAAAAAAAAAAAAAAAAAAAAAAACCCGAATTATTTGGTACTAAGTAAAATGATAACCTAAACTACTACGCCTACTATGATTTTGTACCTTTTCATTAAGTGAAAAACATCTAGTTTTATTGCAGAAAACATTAAGTGCTTGGGGAACATAAAGGGATTGCTGAAAGGGCCCTGGTGATAGTTGGCAAGAAGGCTTCATACAGAGGTGAATCGAGAATACGGGAAATCCTATAGGAAGATGGCAAAGATCAATGATGGGAAAGGGTGAAAAGCATCTTCCTACTGCTCTTTGACTTCCAATATCTATTTTCCCTTTCTCCTCCACACAAGGTTTTCACTGGGGAAATGGCAGAACCATTCCTTGGAAATCTCAGGGCCTGGGAGGCAGAACCATTCCTTGGAAATCTCAGGGCCTGTGATACTAAATGACCCATTCTCCGTAATAAAACAAAGAATTGCCCCACATGCTACGTGACTTCCAAATGTCTTACCAGAGGCTTAATTTGAGTGAAAAATCCATTTAAAATGCTCTGAACCTAGCCTCTAACTCTGTTTTTACAAATACTCATAAAGAATTTTTATTTTATTTATGTATTTATTTTATTTTATTTTATTTTATTTTTATTTTTATTTTTATTTTTATTTTTTGAGACGGAGTTTCACTCTTGTTGCCCAGGCTGGAGTGCAATGGCATGATCTCGGCTCACCACAACCTCCGCCTCTCGGGTTCAAGCGATTCTCCTGCCTCAGCCTCCCGAGTAGCTGGGATTACAAGCATGTGCCACCACGCCCAGCTAATTTTGTATTTTTAGTAGAGACAGAGTTTCTCCATGTTGGTCAGGCTGGTCTCTAACTCCCGACCTCAGGTGATCCCCCCACCTCAGCCTCCCAAAGTGCTGGGATTGATTACAGGCGTGAGCCACTGCACCAGGCCAAGAATTTTTTTTCTTTTAATCTTAATAAAGTCACTGCAGGTATCCGATCACCCCATCACACCCCAGCATTTGCATCCATCACATTATGGTGACTCCAAATTGAGGAGCAAGCATCTCTTTCATTATTCTCGTGTAGCTAGACATGTATGTGGAAATACATGCTATTGAAAGATATGTTACTTTACTATAATTAGTTTCCTTTGATTTCTCCTTTACATTGCAGTTCCTTATATTTTATTTTTTACCTATTCACCTAAGTTTACCCTTCCTGGGCACACAGCTACACTACATTTCCCAGCTCCCATGCTGTTAAGTTTGTTCAAATGACTGTGACAAGTTCAAGTCAATGGAATGTGCTGTATGCTATCTCTGAGCTGAGAATTTTAAGAAGCACTATGCTCCTTCCATGTTCTGTTAGCCTGTCTGCTCCCCGGACACACGTAAGAAGGCGGCTGCAATATGCATAACAACAGTAAGAACCAAAAACTCAAAGGAGCCTTCATTCCTGAACTTCCACATGGAGAAAAGTTGTCTGCTGACCAGGAACATACATGTAGAAGTGGTAAAAGAGTAAGAACTTGGGTGCTGACGAGTTGATGGGTGCAGCACGCCAACATGGCACAGGTATACATATGTAACAAACCTGCACGTTATCCACATGTACCCTGGAACTTAAAGTATAATTAAAAAAAAAAAAGAGTAAGAACTTAATTTCTGTTATGTGTGTTTTGAAACAGCCTTCGCAAAATCATGACTGAGACAGTGAAAGAGATCTAACTTAATCCACTCCATCTTGCTTCTAACCTCCAAGCTGTCCTTGTTTATTCCTGGGCGTAGGCTGAACTAACTTTGGGAGAAATTTAGTTTATAGTTTAAACAAAGACAGTAACAGCCCTTTCCCAAAGCAGACCCCCTTCTTGCCTGGGGATTAGATTGCCTTTGTAGGACTAACATTAGCCACAAGATTAAAATTTACGGTTTAGGAGTCCTGCAGCTGGGGGCTACAAGGTTCTGACCCTCCCTGAACTGCTCCTAAGATCAGTGCTTGAGATATTTTGCAGACCCTGCACTTGATGGATCAGCTGGCACCACCCAGATCAATAAATTGGCTCATCTGATCTTGTGGCCCCCACCCAGGAACTGACTAAACACAAGAAGACAGGTCCAACTCCCTGTGATTTCATCTCTGGCCAATCAGCACTCCTGGCTCACTGGCTTCCCCCCACCCACCAAGTTATCCTTAAAAACTCTGCTCCCTGAATGCTCGGGGAGACTGATTTGAGTAATAACAAACCTCCAGTCTCCCACACAACTGGCTCTGCATGAATTACTCTTTCTCTATTGCAATTCCCCTGGCTCTGTCTGGGCAGCAGGCAAGGTGAACCCCTTGGGTGGTTACAGTTGGAGCCCTATACCCTTTGGAGTCTGTTTGTTGTAGTTGTTGAGCCCACCCTTGCAGATACAAGTTATAGTATGTATAAATTTCATGTTAGGATGGCAAAGGGCAATACAAATCATTTGTTATAAAAAGGAGATATTCAGTCAAACATGACTGAGAACCTTCCCTCTCGCCTGCACTACCAAATCCAACAGCCACTAGACACATGTGACTATGAAGCACTTGAAATGTAACCAGTCCAAACTGAGATATGCTGTAAGTATATAAGGCGAACTAGATTTCAAAGATTTAGAATAAAAAAGGTAAAATCTCAATAATGTTGAATATTGAGTACATGTGAAAATATTATTTCAGATATGGGTAATTTTAAAATATATTATTAAAATTCATTGTATCCATTTATTTTAACCTTTTTAATATGGTTACTATAAAATTTTAAAGTACACGTGTGGGCCACACTGTATGTCTATTAAACAGTCTTGCTCTAGATATCACCCTTGGTTCTTACCGCCCAGGTTTCAAGTCACTAGCTCCATAGGTAAGTTAGGAGTTGGGGCTCTGATCTCTTCCTTGGTTTGATATTCTCCATTGTTTCAGGTAGGAGTCCCCTACTCACCCCTGGGAGCCCTACCCGCCACCAAACCTGGGCTTCGTTGGTGCGTATGAGGGGAAACTGGGGACTCTACAAGCCTAAGAGTATTGAGCAGTTGATTTCTTCATCAATTACTTTCAAAAGGATTCAAGCTGCCACAAGACAGAGGCAGAGAAAGGGAGCAAAGAGGGAGAGAAAGTGAAAGAGAGAGATTCAGACACAGTAATTCCAAGTGGGAAACAACCATCAAGATAAACATAAAAGGACAATTCCTTATAATTAAAGGAAAGGAGCTGTGGCAAACGTTGATAAATGGCTAATTCACTCCCAATCCCCTTTTCCCTGACCACCATCTCCTGTGGCAGTTAGAAAGCTAAATGCTTGCCTTCTGAGATTCTCTTGCTGCCAGGGAATGACTGTGTGACATAATTCTGGAATAAGACATAAGCAGAAGGCAGCCAAGAGTTTCTACAAACGGAACTGAAGAAGCCAGCATTTTCCTTCTCCTTCTTCCTGCTTTGGACACTGACCTGATGTCTGGAATTGCAGCAGCCACCTTGAATCAAGAGTTGACAAATAAGAAGAAAACATCAAGAGAATCACAAAGATGTCAGCCTTAATGTCATCAAGCCTCTGATCCAATACCAAGAGTTTCTATCTTCAGACCCTGTTATGCAGTTTAAAAAACAAACCAACAAGTCTCAGAGGTTAAATTCCCTGGTAGTCCGAAACCATGCTGAGCACTTTTCTTCTTACAGATGAAAAACCGAGGTTCGGAGCCACCTACTGGTTGTGTTGGAATGTGAACCCAGAATTGTCTGAGTCCAAAGCCCAGAGTGTTTCCACCACACTAACCAGGTTATACTCTCGTTTCCTAGCTAAGCCCTGAATTTAGAAATATCCCAAGTTCACTGTGAACATGCAGGTGTCTTCCAATGTCAGAGCTCCCAGAGGCCCCAGCCCCGGTCAATATCCAATTCCCGCTGGTGGCCCTGCCCACAGGCTTCAAGGCTGCAAACCATTGGGCCACAAATCTGGGTCAGGCTTCATCTAATGAGCCTCTGCTCTTCTACCAGCCGTGGGAACACATGCACAGTTCAGCAGACTAGGCAGCTAGAGCTGCATTGAGGAAAAGGCTCTATCCTCTGCTTCACAGCCTTGCTGGTTGACAGGGCCTCTGGCTCCTTCCAGAGATCAATGAAATTGGTAGAAAATTTTGTAGGGAAAATATTTACCTTACTTGCCTGAATCAGGAAAAGGAAACTGCTGTGAGTTGGGGCTGAGGCTGCAGCTCTTAGGCTACCACAGCCATGGGAAAAGACCTAATTAGAGAGATTTCTGTTTTACAACTGTACTGGCCCCCACAACAGCCTCCTTGCTGACACCTGCTGTTTCTGCCAGAAAAAGAGAGATGGTTAAAGATGAAAAGCAGGCCTCTGATTCCAAACACAGTGCTGACTCAGAGAGACCCACGGCTGCCGCTATTCCTGCAGACTTGCAAGGCTGTAATTACTATCACAGTGAATCCATGCTTCTCCTTCATAAGAAAGGCAAATTTGGGCTGGAAATGCTGGCTCACGCCTGTAATCCCAGCACTTTGGGAGACTGAGATGGAAAGATTGTTTGAGCCCAGGAGTTCCAGACCAGCCTGGGTAACATGGCAAAACCCCATCTCTTCAAAAAATTTAAAAATTAGCTGGGCATGATGGTGTGCGCCAGTGCCTGCCTGTAGTCTCAGTTACTCAGGAGGCTGAGGTAGGAGGATCACTTGAGCCTGAGAGGTCAAGGCTGCAGTGAGCCAAGACTGTGCCGCTGCACCCCAGCCTAGGCAATAAAGTGAGACCATGTCTCAAAAAAAAAAAAAAGGAAAAGAGAAGAAAAAAAGAAGACAAACTTAAATGACAAAAGAAACTCAGAAACGAAGGGTTATCTTTATTATGGTCAAAGTAACTTCCTAAAGCAGAAGTGTATTCTGTGCCCAGTGTGTGTTTCCACAGTTCTCTGTTCTACGTTAAGGAGTGACAGTCCTCTCTATTCCTAGTCAATGGTGGCATTGTATACCATAGTTATGTGAGCATGACTTCGGTTCCTTATAAAAACTATCTTACTTGTAATAGAACCCCAAAATAAACATTTTATAGAACTATAAAAATGTATCAGCAAAAAAGAGAAACACTTATTTAGCACTATAAAAGATATCGGAAAAAAAGAGAAACACTTATTTAGCAGTTGCAATACTAAGCATTTTTCATACATTATGTCATTTAATCCTCAAAATTACTGGCTGGGTGCAGTGGCTCACGCCTGTAATCCCAGCGCCTTAGGAGGCTGAGGCAGGTGGATCACCTGAGGTCAGGAGTTTGAGACCGGCCTGGCCAACATGGTGAAACCCCATCTCTACAAAAACACAAAAATTAGCTGGGCATGATGGCGGGTCCCTATAATCCCAGCAACTTAGGAGGCTGAGGCAGGATAATCACTTGAACCTGGGAGGTGGAGTTTGCAGTGAGCTGAGATTGTGATTGCACTCCAGCCTGGATGACAGAGCAAGACTGCATTTCAAAAAAAAAAAAGTTACAATAATCCCATCATACAGATAAGGAAACTGAGGCTTAGAGAAGTCAGCTGCCCAAGGTGACGCTGCTAGTAAGTACAGAATCCAAATTCATATCTGGAGCTGTCTGATACCAGTTCATGTTTTTTCTATACTGCCTCTAAGTCATAAGAACAGAAAGAAATGCCTCAATAATACTCAAAGGAGATAAATTTGGATCATAAATGTATTAATTAATCAGTCACTAGACTGATTCCTGAGATGAGCCATTGCATAATTATATAGGCCAGAATCATGCATTGAGGCCTTAGAGTTTTAGTCTGAGGCTCTAGGAATCTACCCGACCCCAGCCCACCCTGTCATCCATTCCAGACCTTGAACTGCATGGTGGTCTTGGTGCCTTCTGTGGTAGGGCCACAGCAACAGCTTCCAGGAACCCAGAGGACAGACTCCATTCTGCCTTTTGTCTTGCGCAAGCCTAGACTCACAGTGGGAAGCTATGAGACTACACCTTCAGGAGGCTGGTTAGGTCCTCCCACAGGGACCAATGGTGCCTAACTAGACATTTGGGGAGCAGGGAGACCACGGGCCTTACAGAATAGACCACAGGGACTTGGATATTTTTGTAGTGAGCACCTTTTATGTTCTAGTCTCTGATCTAAGTATTGGCAATATAGACAGAAAGAAGAAAAAGGAGGACCCTGTATTTATGGAGCTTTCAGTGACTATGTGAGCAGTGACTAATGTGGAGGAAAGACCAGAGAATTCCCCCAGAATGTCCTGGATTATGTAAGATGTGGCCACCCAAGAGGCAATGCTGGGGTTGGGAGAAGTATCCCAATAGTAACTGAGTTCGCATCTCCTTCAAATCAGTGGGATGAGGAGCCTGGAGCAGATTAAGTGTGATTTGGAGAAAAGAAAGAGATGGGACTTTTTTTTTACATCCCATGTTGTAGAATAAAATTCATGCCAACTACATATTCTCTCTGTGATGTAACTAAGATGGCTTTGTTGTTTTTTTCAGAAGAGATGTAAAAGTTGAAAAGAGTAACTTGCCACTTTATCCCTCCATGTTATATACTAAGGACATCTAATGTCACCACTTCATTCTCTAAGTTGGGTCTAACTACAATTTGGGGTTTGGCATCTACTTCTAGTTTTAGTAATTAAAGTCATGTCACCCTTAGCTAGGCGAATAAGAAAGAACAATATTCAAGTCATGACAGCCTTTCAGGGTTGTGTCTAGGCTCAAAAAATGCTAGACTTTTAGTCAGAACAGTTTCTCTTCATTCCCAATTAAATGCTTAATGGAAATCCCCTTAAATGAGCTAAGAATAAAAGACAGTTCTCCCAGAGAACAAATAACCTCAGCAACATTTGGGAACCCTTAGAACTTAGACCTTTTTAAGGAGGAATCTTGGAAGAACATCCAACAGGAACATTGGAAGAACATCATGGTGGCAGCTGATGTCAGTAGTTATCTCTTTTTCTTTCCTCAAAGTCTTTTCAGCTCTGTTATTTACAACCACAAAGAAATGTGCTCCTTTGGGAAAGATCAGATTGCATTGAACAGCAAAGGTAATAATATATATGAGATCCCACTCTCTTCTGGCAGGATAGGCCTCAGCTTGTTCTAGTCCCGGGTGAGGCCTAAGGGGTGAGTAAGATTTGAGTATAATATTCCTCAAAGTTCAAGAGGTTGGGCCTTCCCATCAAGACCCCCCACCCCGATCAAAATCTGGAAATGCAAATGAATGTCCTCCTTACCTGAAAGAATGGCAAATTGTCTGTGAAGTTGTTCTATTATCTCCACCGCCATCAAGGGCCTGACTTCCTGCTGCATAATTTCATCTGCACAAATGAAATACAAAGTGGGTTAAATATGTGCAAATTACAAGAAGAAATTAAAAAGAAACAAAGGCAAGCTGTACTATTGGGAAATCTGGGACTTATCAAGAGATGGTTCTGGCACATCATTCCCTTGAGAATTTGATTTCTGAGATCCAGGGCTGTATCTGGGTTTGTTTACTTTGGAGCTTATGCGTCTGAGTGGGGAACACATTTCTAGAGCCCCTACCAAGGCTTTGGGAGGTACCAATACAAGGAAAGAACCCTGAAGTTTAAGCTTCAGTAGCTTCACAGTAAACCTGCTGGATGATCTGATTACGAAAGCAGGTATTTGCCTACAACTTTGGGTCTGCAGAAGGACACTCTAAACACAAACAACATAAGTTACTAGAGCTCCTTTCAAAACAGGTCATAAAATCAATCTGGGATTCATGAGGGTTCTTTAATTTTTATTTTCCTCCCTACCCCACTTCCTTCCTCCCCCCCTTATCTCCATTCCTTTTTTCCCCCTCCCAGAATACTTTAAGGGGCCTCTTCCTACTGCTAAATGTATATAAGGAGGCACTTTTTCACTTTTCTATTTAAAGATTCTCCTAACTGAATAATAAGTTATAGGTTTCCAATGCAAAAAATCCAATCCTTTCAAGCACAAATCTACAAAGGTCCTCTAACCCTAGAAAATGACTTATAAGCCCTGTGATTTGCCCTCATATCCATTTGGGGAAAGCGAATTAGAGAGGGGGGAAGACTGTCTGGAATCCATCAACCTGGACCGAAGAGAGGAAGGCATTTTCATGTTCTGTCTGCCTAAGATATTATCTTCATTTAACTATTTCCCAGGGAATCTTAAAGAATAAACTGGTAACTGGGTACTGAGGCCCAGGCAGGAGGACTGCTAGAGGCCAGAAGTTGGAGACCAGCCTGGTCAACAGAGTAAGATCTTGTCTCCACAAAAAATGTAAAAATTAGCCAGACATGCTGGTGTATGCCTGTGGTCCCAGCTACCTGGGAGGCTGAGGCAGGAGGATCTCTTGAGTCTAGGAGTTTGAGGCTGCTGTTAGCCATGATTGTGCCACTGCACTACAGCCTGGGCAACAGATGGAGACCCTGTCTCAAAACAAACAAAACAAAAAAACCAAACAACGATAAAAAATGAATGAACTGGGTAATTACGAGAGGGCGGAGCAAGATGGCCGAATAGGAACAGCTCCAGTCTCCAACTCCCAGCACAAGCGACACAGAAGACCGGTGATTTCTGCATTTTCAACTGAGGTACTGGGTTCATCACACTGGGGAGTGCCGGATGATCGGTGCCGGTCAGCTGCTGCAGCCCGACCAGCAAGAGCTGAAGCAGGGCGAGGCATTGCCTCACCTGGGAAGTGCAAGGGGGAAGGGAATCCCTTTTCCTAGCCAGGGGAACTGAGACACACAACACCTGGAAAATCGGGTAACTCCCACCCCAATACTGCGCTTTAAGCAAACAGGCACACCAGGAGATCATATCCCACACCTGGCTGGGAGGGTCCCACACCCACGGAGCCTCCCTCATTGCTAGCACAGCAGTCTGTGATCTACCGGCAAGGCAGCAGCAAGGCTGGGGGAGGGGCGCCCACCATTGCTGAGCCTTAAGTAGGTAAACAAAGCTGCTGGGAAGCTCGAACTGGGTGGAGCTCACAGCAGCTCAAGGAAACCTGCCTGTCTCTGTAGACTCCACCTCTGGGGACAGGGCACAGTAAACAATAACAAACGAAGCAGAAACCTCTGCAGAGGCAAACGACTCTGTCTGACAGCTTTGAAGAGAGCAGTGGATCTCCCAACACGGAGGTTGAGATCTGAGAAGGGACAGACTCCCTGCTCAAGTGGGTCCCTGACCCCTGAGTAGCCTAACAGGGAGACATCCCCCACTAGGGGCAGTCTGACACCCCACACCTCACAGGGTGGAGTACACCCCTGAGAGGAAGCTTCCAAAGCAAGAATCAGACAGGTACACTCGCTGTTCAGAAATATTCTATCTTCTGCAGCCTCTGCTGCTGATACCCAGGCAAACAGGGTCTGGAGTGGACCTCAAGCAATCTCCAACAGACCTACAGCTGAGGGTCCTGACTGTTAAAAGGAAAACTATCAAACAGGAAGGACACCTACACCAAAACCCCATCAGTACATCACCATTTTCAAAGACCAGAGGCAGATAAAATCACAAAGATGGGGAAAAAGCAGGGCAGAAAAGCTGGAAATTCAAAAAATAAGAGTGCATCTCCCCCGGCAAAGGAGCGCAGCTCATCGCCAGCAACGGATCAAAGCTGGACGGAGAATGACTTTGACGAGATGAGAGAAGAAGGCTTCAGTCCATCAAATTTCGCAGAGCTAAAGGAGGAATTACGTACCCAGTGCAAAGAAACTAAAAATCTTGAAAAAAAAGTGGAAGAATTGATGGCTAGAGTAATTAATGCAGAGAAGGTCATAGACGAAATGAAAGAGATAAAAACCATGACACGAGAAATATGTGACAAATGCACAAGCTTCAGTAACCGACTCGATCAACTGGAAGAAAGAGTATCAGCGATTGAGGATCAAATGAATGAAATGAAGCGAAAAGAGAAACCAAAAGAAAAAAGAAGAAAAAGAAATGAACAAAGCCTGCAAGAAGTATGGGATTATGTAAAAAGACCAAATCTACGTCTGATTGGGGTGCCTGAAAGTGAGGGGGAAAATGGAACCAAGTTGGAAAACACTCTTCAGGATATCATCCAGGAGAACTTCCCCAACCTAGTAGGGCAGGCCAACATTCAAATCCAGGAAATACAGAGAACGCCACAAAGATACTCCTCGAGAAGAGCAACTCCAAGACACATAATTGCCAGATTCACCAAAGTTGAAATGAAGGAAAAAATCTTAAGGGCAGCCAGAGAGAAAGGTCGGGTTACCCACAAAGGGAAGCCCATCAGACTAACAGCAGATCTCTCGGCAGAAACTCTCCAAGCCAGAAGAGAGTGGGGGCCAATATTCAACATTCTTAAAGAAAAGAATTTTAAACCCAGAATTTCATATCCAGCCAAACTAAGTTTAATAAGTGAAGGAGAAATAAAATCCTTTACAGATAAGCAAATGCTTAGAGATTTTGTCACCACTAGGCCTGCCTTACAAGAGACCCTGAAGGAAGCACTAAACATGGAAAGGAACAACCGGTACCAGCCATTGCAAAAACATGCCAAAATGTAAAGACCATCGAGGCTAGGAAGAAACTGCATCAACTAACGAGCAAAATAACTAGTTAATATCATAATGGCAGGATCAAGTTCACACATAACAATCTTAACCTTAAATGTAAATGGACTAAATGCTCCAATTAAAAGACACAGACTGGCAAACTGGATAAAGAGTCAAGACCCATCAGTCTGCTGTATTCAGGAGACCCATCTCACATGCAGAGACATACATAGGCTCAAAATAAAGGGATGGAGGAAGATTTACCAAGAAAATGGAGAACAAAAAAAAGCAGGGGTTGCAATACTAGTCTCTGATAAAACAGACTTTAAACCATCAAAGATCAAAAGAGACAAAGAAGGCCATTACATAATGGTAAAGGGATCAATTCAACAGGAAGAGATAACTATCCTAAATATATATGCACCCAATACAGGAGCACCCAGATTCATAAAGCAAGTCCTTAGAGACTTACAAAGAGACTTAGACTCCCATACAATAATAATGGGAGACTTCAACACTCCACTGTCAACATTAGACAGATCAACGAGACAGAAAGTTAACACGGATATCCAGGAATTGAACTCATCTCTGCAGCAAGCAGACCTAATAGACATCTATAGAACTCTGAACCCCAAATCAACAGAATATACATTCTTCTCAGCACCACATCGTACTTACTCCAAAATTGACCACGTAATTGGAAGTAAAGCACTCCTCAGCAAATGTACAAGAACAGAAATTATAACAAACTGTCTCTCAGACCACAGTGCAATCAAATTAGAACTCAGGACTAAGAAACTCAATCAAAACCGCTCAACTACATGGAAACTGAACAACCTGCTCCTGAATAACTACTGGGTACATAACAAAATGAAGGCAGAAATAAAGATGTTCTTTGAAATCAATGAGAACAAAGATACAACATACCAGAATCTCTGGGACACATTTAAAGCAGTGTGTAGAGGGAAATTTATAGCACTAAATGCCCACAAGAGAAAGCAGGAAAGATCTAAAATTGACACTCTAACATCGCAATTAAAAGAATTAGAGAAGCAAGAACAAACACATTCGAAAGCTAGCAGAAGGCAAGAAATAACTAAGATCAGAGCAGAACTGAAGGAGATAGAGACACAAAAAACCCTCCAAAAAATCAATGAATCCAGGAGTTGGTTTTTTGAAAAGATCAACAAAATTGACAGACCGCTAGCAAGACTAATAAAGAAGAAAAGAGAGAAGAATCAAATCGACGCAATTAAAAATGATAAAGGGGATATCACCACCGACCCCACAGAAATACAAACTACCATCAGAGAATACTATAAACACCTCTACGCAAATAAACTGGAAAATCTAGAAGAAATGGATAATTTCCTGGACACTTACACTCTTCCAAGACTAAACCAGGAAGAAGTTGAATCCCTGAATAGACCAATAGCAGGCTCTGAAATTGAGGCAATAATTAATAGCCTACCAACCAAAAAAAGTCCAGGACCAGATGGATTCACAGCTGAATTCTACCAGAGGTACAAGGAGGAGTTGGTACCATTCCTTCTGAAACTATTCCAATCAATAGAAAAAGAGGGAATCCTCCCTAACTCATTTTATGAGGCCAACATCATCCTGATACCAAAGCCTGGCAGAGACACAACAAAAAAAGAGAATTTTAGACCAATATCCCTGATGAACATCGATGCAAAAATCCTCAGTAAAATACTGGCAAACCGGATTCAGCAACACATCAAAAAGCTTATCCACCATGATCAAGTGGGCTTCATCCCTGGGATGCAAGGCTGGTTCAACATTCGCAAATCAATAAACATAATCCAGCATATAAACAGAACCAAAGACAAGAACCACATCATTATCTCAATAGATGCAGAAAAGGCTTTTGACAAAATTCAACAGCCCTTCATGCTAAAAACGCTCAATAAATTCGGTATTGATGGAACGTACCTCAAAATAATAAGAGCTATTTATGACAAACCCACAGCCAATATCATACTGAATGGGCAAAAACTGGAAAAATTCCCTTTGAAAACTGGCACAAGACAGGGATGCCCTCTCTCACCACTCCTATTCAACATAGTGTTGGAAGTTCTGGCTAGGGCAATTAGGCAAGAGAAAGAAATCAAGGGTATTCAGTTAGGAAAAGAAGAAGTCAAATTGTCCCTGTTTGCAGATGACATGATTGTATATTTAGAAAACCCCATTGTCTCAGCCCAAAATCTCCTTAAGCTGATAAGCAACTTCAGCAAAGTCTCAGGATACAAAATTAATGTGCAAAAATCACAAGCATTCTTATACACCAGTAACAGACAAACAGAGAGCCAAATCAGGAATGAACTTCCATTCACAATTGCTTCAAAGAGAATAAAATACCTAGGAATCCAACTTACAAGGGATGTAAAGGACCTCTTCAAGGAGAACTACAAACCACTGCTCAGTGAAATAAAAGAGGACACAAACAAATGGAAGAACATACCATGCTCATGGATAGGAAGAATCAATATCGTGAAAATGGCCATACTGCCCAAGGTAATTTATAGATTCAATGCCATCCCCATCAAGCTACCAATGAGCTTCTTCACAGAATTGGAAAAAACTGCTTTAAAGTTCATATGGAACCAAAAAAGAGCCCGCATCTCCAAGACAATCCTAAGTCAAAAGAACAAAGCTGGATGCATCACGCTACCTGACTTCAAACTATACTACAAGGCTACAGTAACCAAAA